ATTCCCTGTTCTCATGTGCCCACCCCAGACCCCTCCTGACCTATCATGCCCTCTTCAAAACAGTACAGTGGCCGTGACCCTCGCCTTCCACCGCACAGTCCAGGCCACACACCTTGATGGGTGCCCTGCTTCCCTCTCCCATAGAGGCCAGACTGACTTCTTGACACTAAGTCATCGCGATCATTGAAAACTTCTGGGGGCTCCCACCACCCCTGCCACACGTGACCCACAGGTCCTATTGAGATCTCCTGTGACAGCTGCCCTGCCCTGCCTTGCCCACTGCGGTTCAGCCACGAGGGCAGTGCTGTTACTCCAAGAAGCCAAGGACACTCCCACCGCAGCCTCAGCCGGCCGGCTGGTGTTAAAAAGTGTCAGAGCCAAGGTGCACACCCTCAGGCCCAGACTTAACCCCTGCACCACGCAAGCACTGCCTCAGCACGTTTAATTCCTAATAGCCCTTGAGATGGGAAGTCCATGGTTCCCGTTTCTCAGGAGGAATGGGGGCTTGCCTTCCAAGAGCCAAAGAGAGCTGAGGGCAGCCTCCCTCCAGGGCCTGCTCTCCCAGCCTCTTGCCTCCCCCACACAGCCTTCTTGTTCTGAGAGGCAGGGCGCTCTGGCAGCCATGGGTATGGGTCCGCCACCTCCTGGCCTGCAGCCAGTGCTGAGACGGCAAGCCACCCTTACTGAAGGCTCTGTGCAGACGTCCATTGCCTGTGACAGTCATTGCCTTCTGCCTGGAGCTCAAGGCTGTCCCAGGAGTAGCCTCACGTCCCCTCTTAGAGAGGGGTTAAATGGCCCTGCGAGGGGGTGTTTCCATCCTAGGTGCCTAGGCGCGGGGGGGGGGGTGACGGGGCGGGGGAGGGGGTGACGGGGCGGGGGGGACGGTGTTTAGGCCAAGGCTCAGCCAATAGGAATGTCTGGACCTCCCCACCTCAGGTGCCCTCAGGCAGCCCTCCAGCGAACAGCGTCTCAGGACTGTACAAAGCTGGCCGGTGTCTGGGGAGGAAGATGGAGGGGAATCGGCAGGACCAGGTGGGAGGGAGAAGCCAGAGGAAAAGGCTTGCCCAGTTTCCACACTCCGCTCCAAACGCTCAGCTCCTGGTCAGTCACATGTGGAATAAAAATTTCCAGCACAGCCTCATGGTCCCACTAAGCCATACCCAGAGGTCCTGGGCAAAGGTTACGGAGTCAATGGGGCAACTAATGACTAATCTATGCCCCGCATATGAACAAAGGACCATATGAACAAAGGACTGCAGGGAGTGGCTTACCTGCTCCCTAGAAAGGAACTTGGGGTCCCAGGGCTACAGTGGCTGTGGGCCAAGGACAGACAAGCGGCCAGGGCCAGTGGCTGAGGCACCTGGGAACCAAGCCCCCAGACACAAGGAGCCCAGGACACCAGGTCACCAGCTGGCTCTCCAGCTGCCCCACGCTTACCCCGCTCTCCATGGAGCTGCTGGGTATGGGGTGCGCAGTGAGCAGACTGTGATGGAGGCAGGTTGGAAAGCAGGTCCTCCAGGGCTTCCTGGTTTTGCTTCTTTCTCAGGGAGGGCACAAGAAGGGGCTGTGGGGAGCTTGGGGTCATTCGTCCCACAGCCAAGGCAGAAGCAGCCACCATAGCTAGACCCACATCTGGACAGAGCAGCCTGAAGCCCCCTACTCACATGTGCTGGGTTCTGCCTCGCTGGGAGAGCTTCAAGCAGACCCCACCAGCACCAGGGCTGCCCAGCGCCCCGGCCGCACAGCACAGGGCCTGGGGCCTGCCGGTGGGGGCTTCGCTTAAACGTTGCATGGCCATCGCCTGGCCGCCAGCTGCGTCCCGTGGCAGCCAGCAGTAGGGGCAAGAAGTTCAGGGGTCTGCCTACTGGCCAAGCACCAGGCCAAACCTGCATTGGGACCACAGCACACTGTACACCAAGGTGGGGACTGGCTCTGGACAACCTTCACCTAAACTTCTCATCCTTCCAGCAGTTTCTGTGGCTTCCCTCAGTCCTGCGAGGAACAAGTCAGGTCATAAAACAGAAGGAGTTGAAGTCAAGAACTCCATGGCCCGGGCCAGGGGTCTGGCCACGCCAGTCAGCACCACACCTGCCACATGTCCTGGGGTAGGCATGTTGAAGTCTATTGTCTGGAGTCGGCCTCTGTGATCTCAGGCCTCAACTCAGGGGACTGGAGATGTGGAGGAGCAAGTCCGCACTTTGTCCCCTCCTCCTCAGAGGAGTAGTGAACCTATGTCTTGGCTGCACTAAGCCGAGTAAATATATTATTTTTCACAGCCTATGACGTAACTACTTCTGTCATTCCATTTTACAGATGGAGCTTAGCCACCTCACCGACTGACCAATAATAGCAGGGCCTGGGTTCACGTGACATCTCCTATGTCCCGAGCCCACAGTGCAGTGGGTAACTAACTAAAAGCAGGAGTCAGATTCCTGCCCACCTGCTGACCACACACACCTCTTGCCCCCTCAGGGCCTCAGTTTCCTTACATCATAAATGAGAACATGTAACAACATCATACCTCATAAGATTATTTGGAAGATTAAGTTCCTTAGTATCCACACCCTGATCTTGCCCCGGGGAACCTGTGTCCCCTGCCCCACCCCCAGCAGTCCTCTCTTCCTCTCCTATCGGCAGCCCCACACCTGGAAGATGCTCTTGACTCTGTCCTCACATTCATACCCAATCCACCAGCACATTCTTTCAGCGCTTTCCTCAAAATACAGCCACAATCGGGCCCTGCCCTGCCCACCACAGCAGCCACAGGAACCTGTTGAGACGAAAATCAGGTCACACGCCTCCCCTGCTCTCAATCTCTCCAACGCTGCCTGATCTGCCTCCAATCTTTCCGGCCAGAGGCCGGTATCTTTCCCTAACAAAGGTCGATCTTTACTTTAACTGAGCCTGTCTGTTGTTATCTTGTAATGTCAAAATAACTTCCTTTTTTCAGACCCCTCAGGGCACAATCTCCCACCAGAGCCCCTCAGTGTTACCTTGTGCTCCTGCACGCCACCTCTGGGTGCTGTGAACGGTCCTTGTTAACTATGGCACACCCGCCGTTGTGAAAGGAGCATGTGTCTCTCCATTTTACTTTTGATGCTGTCCCAGCAATCCCTGCTTTGCTTTCTCCTGTCCCCCTAGTCTATCACCAGCGGATTTCGCGTAACCCCCTCATGTCCTTCGGTTGCAATGTATAAAGGAAGGTGTAAAACGGCCATTCCCTGGAGCGTGTCTCAGTCCCTTGAGATTTTGCTTCCTGGCAACTTTTGTTAAGTTTGGCTCAAATAAACGCATCAAATATTCTCTACAGGTTTGAATGTTTCTCACGGTAACACAGGCTTCTTCAACTTCTTCTTGAATACACCAGGTACACGTCCACCTCAGGATCTTTGCACCATCTGCCCCCTCTTCCTGGAAAGCCCCCTGCCCCGATATCCACAAAGCTCCCTTCCTCACCTCCTTTATTGATCGGGAGTTGCAGGCCCATCCCACCCCCTAATCCACTCTCTGGAGTCCTGCTCCCAGTCCTCTGGCTCCACCTCTCCCTTCCCCCAACCCCTCCCCTCCGCCCCCCCCCCCCCCCCCGGGGCCGGCCTCCAAGCCCTGAGAACTGGCTCCGTTTTGTTCCCTGCTTTTTGCTCTTGGCTTCCAGTGCCAAGAGAGCACACAAGAGGTGCCTCCTAAGTGTCAGCCGTTACTATCACTAGTTATGGGCCTTTCTCACTCTTGGGGGGAAGGGGGCTGGAGGAGAGGGGAGACTGGGACCTGCACCACCTAGGTATCAAGGGCGGGGGCGGGGTGAAAGCCCACTTTTTTTTAAGTTCACGGGGCCTTGATGAGATGGAGCATGTACGCAGCCGGCACCAGGAAGTCTGGCACATGGTCGTTCTCAGCAGATGCCCTGGTCCTAGAATGATCCCTAACAGTCATGTCCAAACCCCAGCTCCAGCTGCTCTCCTGACTGAGCCCCTAGTCTGGACATAAAAGTGTCCCTCATAGAGGTGACTTCAGGCCGAGGGCACAGAGCAGGTCTGGCACGCGGTAGGAGCTTTATTAAAGCTCTCAGTCCTTGGCTATTGTTGGCAGCGCGCCCCCACCCCCGCCCCGCAAGGCTGCTGCCCGCGGTCCCCGCCCAGCCAGCAGCAGCAGGGGGCAGGATTTCCCGCTGATCCCAGCCAGGTCCCTCCTCTGCAGTTAGAAAAAAACCCAGCGGGGGTTAACCCTCCTGAGCCAGGCTGACCAGGCTGATGCCTTGTACCCGCCTGTCCCCTGAATGTTCTGCCTGACCCAGGCAGCCTGAAGCAGTCGAAGTGGTCAGGACTGGCCTCTTCCCTGCGTGCAGGGCAGGGGTCACAGGGTCAGACCCGCAAGCCCTAACCCCTCACCTACCCTCTGAGCCTCAGTGTCCCCATCGAAGGAATAGGCTGCCCTAACCTCAGCGTTAACAATAAACATTCATTGTGGAACAGGACCCTGAGTGGGCACAGCGGGGCCGTCCTCTCACTCCCCGAGGCTGGCACTGCGAATAGGAAGCTCTAAACCCCGGATGGCTGGGGTGGCCTCGTTTATCTGACCTAGGGAGGCCCATTCTCGCCGGAGGTGACTCTGCAGCCCCCAGCCTCTATCGCTTCCGGAGTTCATCTTGGGAACAGGCCCTATGGCCTTCTCCAGGGAGGCCAGTGGACTGGGAGGGGTGTGATTGGAAGCAGCCAAACCCCTCCTGAGGAGATCAAAGAGGGTGGAAAGGACTGTGGGGACTAGCCTGGGTGAGGATGGCACATCTAGGGTGGTAGGGTCGCTTGGGGGCCCTGGTCCCGCCTCTGCCCGCCACAGGAGGACCAGGCCCTCTGTCACAGACCGGGTTTCTGGCCCGGCCCCCAGTCAGGCGACTCCAGCTCCTCCCCGAGCCCGCCCCGCCAGGACGGGAACTGCACGGCCCCTTTAAGAGCGCGGCCCCACCCGCCCCCTCCAGGCCGGATCCGAATTCCAGGGAGGCGGGGCGGAGACAGGCGCAGCGGCCGCAGTGGCGGGGGACCGGATCGCTGTGGCTCGGGCGGCGGCCGTCCGGCCCAGCTCCGGCCCCTGCCGGGGCGATGCTCCCCGAGGCCGCGGGATGAGTCAGGTGAGCGCGGGGACCCCTAGCAACCCCTGCCTAGCGGGTACGCACTGTTGGGGAACGGGCAGCGGCAGCCTCAGTTCCCCGGGCTGTGTGACCTTGGGCAGCCCCGCACCCTCTCTGGGCCGAAGTCCTGAAGGGCAGATCGGCTGGAGGAGACCAGTCGGAGTCCCAGCACACACCAGCCCGGGCGCTAGGGAGGCTCCTCGGAGGCGGGGCCTGGCCGGCCAGCGGCTGCCTAACCACGGCTGTCTGATCACCGCTGCCTAATCACGCTTGGGATCTGCTTGGCCCAGGCTCCACCACCCACAGGTCTGCGACCTTGATGGAGTGCTTTAACCCCTTTGAGCCTCAGTTTCCTTATCTGTAAAATGGAGATAAGTATCGTAGCCCTGGCCAATGTCCCTGCGTGTCCCTGTGGTTCGGTTACGGTGGCTGCTCTGTCATTGTTATAATGACACAGTCCATAGGGAGGGTGCTGAGGGAGGACCCCGGACCTTCCAGGAGGAGATGTGGTCCACAGCATCTCTGAACTATGGCGCTAACCCCTGCCTGAGTTGGGACCTGGGTTGTTCCCCCAAGCTGGCGCGCCCCCCCCCCCAAAATAGCCATACAGCAAACACTTATGGACACTAAGTCATTTATAAAAATCATCCCATTAGATCCGAAGAGGAAGGTAATAATATTATTGTGCCCATTTCACTGACGAGGAAACCGAGGTGCAGAGAAATTTCTCACAGCCGGGGGCCAACCCAGGCATTTGGCCTGAAATGACAGGAGGGGACAGGTGGTCTGTGGCTTAGCCTGTACTGAGTGCTTGCTGGATCCTCACTGCAGTCCCCATCTGCGTCCCTGCCCACAGTGACTCGGCGGCTGGCCTGGGCATGGCGGACCCGGTGGCAGGCATTGCAAGCTCGGCAGCCAAGAGTGTGAGGCCATTCCGCTCCAGTGAGGCCTATGTGGAGGCCATGAAGGAGGACCTGGCCGAGTGGCTCAACGCCTTGTACGACCTGGGTCTGCCCGGTGGTGGTGATGGCTTCCTGATGGGGCTGGCCACAGGCACCACTCTGTGCCAACATGCCAACGCTGTCACTGAGGCTGCCCGTGCTTTGGCTGCTGCCCGCCCAGCTCGAGGTGTGGCTTTCCAGGCTCACAGCGTGGCGCCCGGCTCCTTCATGGCCCGAGACAACGTGGCCACCTTCATCGGCTGGTGCCGAACGGAGCTGGGTGTGCCCGAAGTGCTCATGTTTGAGACTGAGGACTTGGTGCTGCGGAAGAACGAGAAGAGCGTGGTGCTCTGCCTGCTGGAGGTGGCTCGGCGCGGGGCCCGCCTTGGCTTGCTTGCCCCTCGCCTCGTGCAGTTTGAACAGGAGATTGAGCAGGAGCTGCGTGCGGCGCCCTTGGCCCCCAGTGCCCCCAATGCCCCCACTGCTGAGGGGGACACCTCCGAAGCTGCTGCTGCCGCCCCAGGGGTTCCCACACGTGGGCCCCGCATGACACCAATGGACCTCCGCAACCTTGACGAACTGGTGAGTTCAGTGGTCCCTGCTGTGCTCTTAACCCTGCGCTTTTCACCAGGAACCAGGCAGCAGAGCCAGTGCCCACAACTAGTCCCTGAACCCCTTTCCAGGATAGCCTGCCCTGTGGAAAGGGTGCATATGTTGAGCACCAAGTGTATACCTGGCCCCAAGGAGATAAGCAGGCCTGCAGAGGGCGAGAGATGTTGGGTGAGGTCACATGGCCCAGCTGGCTTGGGATAAAATGTGAGCTCATTGCATGACTGGCCCCCTTCCCTTGTGTGCGAAGCAAGCACCAGCTTAGCGCTGTGTATGCCTTCATCCGGGGGCCACATGATCAGAGCCCCTCCTATGCGCCCTTATTCGAGGGCTAGACAGTTTCATCCATGGTGCTTGAGGTTAAGAGGGTGCCTGTGATGCTTGGCCCTGGGCACGGTGCCTGGCACACAGTAGGTACTCAGTGGTGCCCAGGGGAGCTCCCAGGGCCCTGCGCACATCATTTACTGGGAAGCCAAGCCCAGAGCTACTGTTGCCACTGGGAGCTATGGAGTTAGTTCTGCCCCAAGCACAGGAGGTGCCAGGCCATGCCCCCAACTCCCTCCTCCTCCTCCTTCTCCTCCCGAGACCTGCGTGTCCCTGACACCCCCGCAGCCAGGCCCAGAGTTTCCTTCTTATCAAGGGGTTAGGGCTATGATGTGCCAGTCCTGGAGGGGGACAGCCGGATGGCGTGGGCAGAGGCTGCCACCCCGCCCCCACCCGTCCCAGCCCAGGGTCACCCGAGGCTCCACCTGCTCATTTCCTCCAGCTCCGCTGTGGTCGGAGAGGGAGGCGGGGCCGCCCACATAGCCAGCCTGGCAGCTCTGGGCATGAAGGGACACGTGGGCTGATATATGCTTGCCAGGCAGGTGGCTTGCGTGTGCAGGTTGGTGTATCTGTGGCCCCTGCCTCAGTGGGCTGAGAGCTCCTGGGCCCTGCCTCCTCCCAGGACCTGGGCTCCCTCTGGGCCTCAGCCTTCACATCTGTGAAGCAGGTGAAGCGGGAGAGAATGGCTCTAGTGTTGCCCCAGGCTCAGGGGCTTCGGGAATGTGCCTCGCTGGGGTCCCAGATCCTGACCTGAGTACAACCCTACCATGTGGTTCTCTCCTTGACCCCCGCCATAGTTGTAGGGGAAGGAGAACTGGTGAAAGGTCAAGTATAGAAGCTGTACCAAGTCTGGGGCAACACAGTCCAGGCCCCCATTCCCCGGAAGGACTTCCTTCTTCCTGACACCAGAGTGGCTGACGTCAGGCTTCAGAAGGAGGGACTTGACCTCTGACCTCCAGCCTTTCCTCTCTGGTCTCAGGTGAGGGAGATCCTGGGCTGCTGCACCTGCCCAGACCAATTCCCCATGATCAAGGTCTCGGAGGGGAAGTACCGCGTGGGAGACTCCAGCCTGCTTATCTTTGTACGGGTAAGAGTGGGGGGCTGTCTGCGGGAGGCAGCCCATGGGGTGGCTGCCAAGCCCACAGGACAGGCTGCCAAGCCCACGGGACAGGCTGTGACCTGCCCTCGCCGGGTTCCCACAGGTGCTGAGGAGCCACGTAATGGTTCGAGTGGGTGGCGGCTGGGACACCCTGGAGCACTACCTGGACAAGCATGACCCGTGCCGCTGCTCCTCCACAGGTTAGTGCCCTAGGCAGGGGCAGGCGGGAGGGGGCTCTTCTCTGTGGCCCCACCTCTCACACGCCACCTGTCTTCTCCCCACAGCCCACCGCCCCCCCCAGCCAAGGACCCGAACCTTCTCCCCCCAGAGGGGGTCACCCACTCCCAGCCCCCGAGCAGGTAGCCCATCCCCAGGGGGTGAGCGGCGAGGCTCCCGGCCAGAGGTGACACCTAGTAGCTTACGAAGCTCAAAGGAGGGGCCCGAAACCTCACTCAGGTGAGAGGCAGGAGAGCACATGGGTGAGGGGTTTCGGGGGTGGGGGATCACGGGGGTTGGGGGTCACGGGGGTGGAGGTGGGGGCGTCTGCCCTGGCCTGGATGAAGAAGCCTGCACTCCATAGTGACTCACACACCCTGGGAATAGTTCCTGTGGGTGGGGGCAGACCTAGCTTCCCATCTCCATGGCAACCCAACCAAACTAACAACACAGCTGGGGCGGGCCCTGGGGCTGGGTGGTAGCCAGTCCAACCCTGCTTCCCTCTGGCCTGCCCAGGAAACAGAAGGGCTGGGGAGGGGAGCTTAGGGCCCCAGAGGCCTTGCTTCTTCCGCTGCCTTGGGGTAGGTGTGGGGGTAGGGACCCTGGCTGTGGGAAGCTGCTGCAGAGTCTCACTTCTCCCTGGAAGTCCCCAGGACAGACCTGAGCCCTTGACAACCCCCACCAAAACCCCCCACAGCACCACAGGTGTCTTCTCCACCCCCACCAACCACAAATCTGCTTCTTCCTCTCCCTACCCTTTCTGCATGTCGATCCTCTTTCCACGATGCCCCATCTCTCTCTTTTTGCTCCCCTGCCCCAGAGCCCGGGATCAGCTGCCCCCCCATCCCCGCTCCCGACGCTACTCTGGGGACAGCGACTCTTCAGCCTCCTCAGCCCAGAGCGGCCCACTTGGTGCCCGAAGTGATGACTCAAGCACTGGCCCCCGGAGGGAGCGGCCTGGCCGGCGGCTGACCACAGGCACCCCAGCCTCCCCGAGACGACCCTCTGCCCCTCGCAGCCAGTCCCGAGACCAGCTAGATCAGCTAGATCGGGGGCGGCCGCGGGAGGCCCCAGGAGGCAGGAGAACCCAGCTGTCAACCCCTAGCCCTGCCCGAAGGGCCCGGAGCCAGAACCGCGAGGAGCATGCTGTGCTGCTTGTGCGTAGGGACCGAGATGGGCAGCACTCGTGGGTGCCACGGGGTAGGGGCGGCGGGGGCTCCGGTAGGAGCAGCCCCCACACTCCCCGTGCCTGCAGCCCCGCGGCCCCCCGGCCTCCCCGGGTCTCCAGCCCCAGTCCAGAGCTGGGCACCACTCCGGCCAGTGTCTTCCGCACCCCCCTGCAGCTTGATCCACAGCATGAACAGCAGTTGTTCAGGCGCCTGGAAGAGGAGTTCCTGGCCAACGCCCGAGCCCTTGAGGCTGCTGCTGGTGGAATCCCCACTGGACCAGCCCCTGACCTGGCTCGGGCCCCAGACCCTCCAGCTCCTGACTCAGCCTACTGTTCCACCAGCTCCTCCTCTTCATCCCTCAGCATCCTGGGTGGCAAATGTGGCCAACCGGGGGACTCTGGCCGGTTGGCCAATGGGCTGCCTGGATGCCGAGGTCCAGCCCTTTCCAGCTCTTCCGATGAAGGTAGCCCCTGCCTTGCTGTGGGGGGGCTACCAGATACATCTGGGAGCCACCTGGCTGGGCCTGAGCCCCCGAGGACCTGGGCGCGGGGCCGGATAGACACACAGCCAGACCGAAAACCCTCACGAATCCCCACACCCAGGGGCCCCCGCCGCCCATCTGCACCCACGGTGCCTGGGGCCTGGCATGCCTTGCACTCGGTCAGCCCAAGGGCTGAGCCAGATTCCTGGATGTGATGGACCAGCCCAGCTGCCCCCCAGGCCCCCTTCCGCCTCCTCTTCCTTTGTGGCCTTAACCCCTCTGCATCAGGGAACACCCCCTACCCTGCGCCTCTTGGGTACCAGACCTCATGGGACCAGACCCCTTAGGACCACATGGCACAATGGGACCTCTGTTGTACATTCCGATTGGGGGATCAGCATTGCTATTTAATTACTAATATTATTGAATGCCTTAGAGGAGGCTGGGCCAGCTCAGTGAGGACCCGTCCTGAGGTCCTGTGGCCCTGCAGAGCCTGACAGTAAAGTTTTGTTCCAGCTACTTGTGTCTGCTTCTTGGGGATCCATCCGTGGGGCCATCACACCCTTTTGGGGGCCCTCATATGTTGGGATTCTGGAGTGAGCTGTTGGGAGCAAAGTCTGGCAGCTCGTCTCTAGGCTTAAGACTACCCTGTCCATCCCAGAAATGCCAGGTGCGCTTGAATTTTTTCCCCCTTTATTATCTCCTGAGATACATGACTTCAGCTTTTGTCCAATGAGGCTCCAGGAGCAGTCTGAGAGCTGCCAATCAGATTCATAGTCAGATCCCTTCCACCCAATGAGATCGTGACTCGATATCCCAGAAAAACATTTTGTTCCGATGGGGATTGAAGATTGAAGGCTGGCTGGGTCCAATGAAATTCAGAGAGGAATGTCGTCGCCCAGGAGACTGGATGGGAGCTTTCCTCATCCAATCAGGTAGGAGACTGTCCAGTCCGAAAGAAGTTGGGCAAACTGGTCTAGTCCAGGTCTCTGGTTGTTCCAGTCAAAATGCCCCGCTTCCCTGTTAGGGTTGTAGTCCAATTTGGTCACATGAGGCTGCAGCGTGCCGGATGCAACGCCCCCTGCAGGCGCAGGGCTGGGTGCGCAGGCCGCGCGCGCACCAGAGCGCAGCGTAGCAACTCGCGGAAGAGACGCAGGACGTGCCAATTGTACTTAGCTGAGCACTCGAGGTAGCCGCAGCGCCAGCCCCTGCGGACCAGGGCAGCCAGCGCGCGCCGAGGCCCAAAGCGCTGCCGTTGCCGGTCCCGCTTGTTGCCTACCACGAGGATGGGTGCCTCAGGTGCGCCTGCCGGCCTGGGGGCCAGATGGGAATGAGGGCCACAGTGCCGGGGACCCCGCGCTGGATAATTCCCCCAACGGGGTTATACACTCAGGAGCATTCTCTCCTGCGGCCAGACACCCCCCAGCAAACATCAGACCAGCGTGGGCCAAAGACCTTCCCACAGACAAAGGCCCGGCCCAGCAAGCCTGACACCAGGCCCACGACGGCGAAAAACCCCACCCACTCCCTTTGGACAAAGGCCTGGCCAACTTGGCAAAAGCTGCCCTTCTCCTCAAACCACTGCCCCCACCCCCGTCCCCATCCAGCCGCATCCTCCTCCTCACCTGGTCTCTGCAATTCGCTGCCGCAGCGCCTTCACATAGTCGAAGCTGTCCGGGCTGCAGATGTCATAGACGAGCACAAAGGCGTCCGTGTCCTGCAAGCTCCAGTCCTTAGGGTCTGGCCACTCCTGGGGGCAGGAGGCTGGGGTTTTCCAGAGCCCTTTCCCCACTCTCCTGCGCCCTGACCTTCTGCGGCCGAATTAACGCTAAACCCACAGTCCATCCTCAGACCTCAGTGGTCCCCATCCTCCTCTGTGAGCCCTGTGCCCCAAGTTCCCTGGGTCCGACCGTCCTCATGGCCACCAGGGTAAAATCTTCCAAACCATCCCTGAAGTTGGTCAGCCACCAGCCCTACTTCACTCTAGGTCTCCTCCGCCTACCCTCTAGCTTCTTCCTTCTCTTTCTAGCCTCCAACTCAGGCCCCTCCCTGCCCTGCATGCTCTCGCGGGTTACTGCTGCCCCTAAAACTAATCCCAAAGCCCGGGGCCTATTGTGGGCAGCTGCAAAGGTTCAGGCCTCTAGGCCTAAACACGTGCTTTTATTTCCACCTGGAATGCTTTTGCCACTGCTTTTAATCAAAACTTCACTCATTCTTACAGCTTCAGCCCAAATGGCACTCCTCCTGGAAACCCTGCTTAATCCTGCCTGCTCCTGCCTCTGCCCCTCTCCAAGGTACCCCACTCCAAGGATTCTAAGTCTGTCCTGGACTTCATACGAGTTACTGCACCAGTCTCTGCTCCAGGTCACAGAAATGAGGGAGCAGAGATTGACACCCCTACCCCCGCCAAGAGAGTATACCCCTGTGTCTGACCCCAACTCTCCCAATGCGGCTCTGTTCAAGGCCCCAATACACAAGACTCACCCCTGGGGGAGGCACAACTACGCTCCACCACGCACTCATCCAGGCCCCAGCGCGTAGGCAGGCACATACAGAGGCACTTAGGCAAGAAAAAACCCACTTTGCAAAATCGCACGGGCCTTGGGCTTGGGCTTGGGACCTTCAAGGCCAGCAAGAAGGGGTGAGACACACAAACACCAGGACAAACATTCATCCTTCAATCCGTGGACACAGTTGGGGACCCTGGGGCTACCCACGCGGACACACTGGTGGGCATCACCCCCCCATACACGCACACTGTCACACCCCTCTTTGCCCCTCGAGCCGCTACCTCTAGACCCCTGGGGCTCTGACCGGGTCCAGCGCCATCACCGTCGCGGATGCTCAGGTCGTAGACGGCGCCGTCGAGCAGCACCGCGGGCCGGTAGAGGCGCGGCCCGTCCGTTGGCTGGTGGCGCTCGGGGTAGTCACCGAACAGGAACTGACGGATGATGGCCGTCTTGCCCACGCCCGGGGCTCCCAGTACGGCCACCCGCAGGCTGCCCCCCATGGCCGGCGCGCGCTGCCGCGCCCTGCGTTGGGAATCCTCATGGGCCGGCGCCGCTCCGTGCGCCCCGCGCTCCCGGCCCGGCGCGCCCCGGTCCCACCACACTCCTCATCGCCCCCTGGAGCAGCCTGGGCCGGGAGAGACCAGGCCAGAGGACGGAGCTGGCGGCGGGAGGGCAGACAGACAACCGAGCAGGCCGACGACGGGCGCACGAGCAGCTCCGGCGGGTGCCGAAGCTCGGAGAGAACAGACCCGACGCGCCGCACACAGACACGGCCCCCGCCCCGCAGCGCGACTGGAGGCGCCGCCGGCAGCGCGTGGCACTGAGATCCGACCTCCTCGCCGCGAGGGTCCTGCAGTGGAGCGGGGCTCGGGGGCCGGTGCTGGCTTTCGGCGCCTCGATCCTTTCGTCCTTCTCTCTCTCGGGCGCCCGGAGTCGCCGCCCCAGCCGGCGGCGCGAGCGAGCCGATGAGGTAACCGCCCGCCGCCCCTCCCACCTCCCCCTACTCGCTCGGGACGCTCCTCCCGGGAAGGGTCGCGGGAAGGTGACTGGGACGCAGGAGCCCGGGGAGGGACACAGCCCCTCCGCACACCACGCTCCCCTCTCCCGATCCAAAATAGAAACCCTTCCCGCCCACGCCCGCGTCCGCTCCACCATACACCGCTCCCCAAGCTGGTTCCAGACAAACCCCGGCCCGCTGGACTCAGGCCGCCCGGGGTCGGATCCGGCCCCAGCTGTGTGACCTTGCGCGAGTGTCCGCACTGCGCTGGCTCCCTGCTCCGCATCCATCAAAAGCGGACATCATTTCTTGAGAACATGCTTTGGGGCTGGGCCCTGTACTAAGCTGTTAAGTAAGTGATCCCTGAATCTACAGCCTCAGCCTGGTACCTCCGTTTATTTAAGAGTGATCTCCAAAGTAGAGGGGCAGTGGGTGACCCCTGGCTAGCAGCCATGCGGTCTCCTCTGAGGAGCCCTCCCACCTCCCTCTGCCCACAGGAGTAAATGGTCGGCACTGAACAATATGTCAAATGGCAATCATCAAGGGGGGCAGGACAGAGGGGGCTGAGTCCCGCACACACCAGGTCATGCAGCAGCTCAGCTGCAAACCCCTATCCAAACAAGGCTGAAAGATTTAGAAATTCGTTGGCACCTCCTCTGTCACTGCTAAGGCTAAATTTTCTGCCTGAGTCTCCACCTGTAGCTCCCTCAAAGCCCAAATCCCCCGTCCCTGGAGTGGTGATGAGTTCCTTTCCCATCAGGCTTGGGAAGTCTGGGTTTGCCCAGCTCACCTCTCCTCTGCCTGCCTCCTCCCTGCAGAGGGGGTGCCCACATCTCTGACCCCGTGCCCAGGTACTGGGTGACATGCACACTTTTCTGTTTCTGCACTGGCCAAAGGGTTCCCTTACAGCTTGCCAGGATGCTGAGATGGATTTTAAAAAGAAAGGGGGGAAAAAGTCCTATTTTAGGAGAGAATGTTCTAGAACACATGGGATCTAAGAACTGTAAGAACACCAACATGCACATCTCAGCTTGCAGCAAGCAGAGGAAGGACCAGAAGCCAAACCCTAAGTGGGGAGGGGTGCATCCTCTAGGGTGCAGATAAAGGCAACCAGAGGGCGTTTTTCCAGAGCATTGGGTGTGTTTATGTCCTCCCACGTTGGATCTGTTTTCACTTTTCTCCTCAGCCACTAGGGAGCTCAAAGTCAGATTTGTGACTACCTCTGGCAGTTGTTCCAGGTCTTCAGGCCTAGTGAGGGGACTCCTGGCTTCATCTTTCTTTCTTGCCATGATTTTTCCCTTCACCCAATTCCCCTCTCATTCTATAACTTTTCGGGCTGGGTGTTGTGAGCCACCTCATTTCCTTTGGGGAACAAGGCAGGGAGTAAATAAACTAACCTCCCTTCTCTCTCAACGCTCAGCAGGGTGTGGGGCTGACATCAGGCTGGACTCCCTTAAGGCCCTCAGCGGGACCCCTTGCCTGCCTGGACTACCCTCTCTCTCGCTCCTGCCCGCCCCTGGGAGCCAGCTTCCCTTCCCAACAGAGTGCGTTCTAGAGCAGGGCTTCTTCAGGACCAGTCAGCGGGGCTGGGGGTGGGCAGCATCTCTAGGTCCCAGCATCGTGTCTCAGTGCATGGTTTTGGAATGATGGAGCACACTCTGAACAGGAAATGTCCTCAAGTTCCCATGTCCTATAGACTCTGCAGGGGTGACACGTTCCCAGGAAGCTTCCGTCAGCATCACTAGCGGCAGTTGTGGTGTCTGAAGGACCTGCGGTACGTGAAGCCCTGACCCATGGCTGTGCACTCATGGAGGCTCCGCGGGGCACAATGATTGGCTCAACATTGTCCAGAAGGAGAGTGGCAGCACAGACCCTGGAACCCAGCGCCTTGGGCCATCCAGCCTGACTCTCTGAGAAGCCCAGCTTCCTCTGGGCCCAGGGCTAGAGGGGCTTCAGGAGCAGTTCATCTGTGGCCCTGTGGGGAGGGGCTTTGAGGAAGATCCTCTCCCCGTGGGGGCTGAGCTAAGCTGTGACAAGAGTGAGCAGCCGTTGCCAGGCTTGCCAAGGACTAACAAGCCAGAGACCTTGGGCTGCCTGTCTGCCTGGGATGTAAACTTCAGATTTTGTCTCAGCGATGCCCTCCCTCCTTCCCTAAGGGGAGGCGGCGGGGCCACTGTTGGCTGCAGCACCACTCCGGGGCCCCGCTCACTCCTCCCTTGCAGTGCTCCGGGGAGCACCCCCAAGCATCTGTGCACGTGCTCCTTCAGCACTAGGGACCTGGCACTGGGTACCAGGCCTGCCCTCCGTGGCTTCTGAGGGAGACTGACGTACAGCCAGGCACAGACAGATGGAACCAGCACTGGGCTGGTTCAGGCCTGGGGGTGCTGATGGGACCCAGGGGATGCACCAGCCTGGCCAAGGGTAGGGGTTCAGGAAGGGCCTGGTGGCACATCTAAGCTGAGCCCCAGAAGATTAGCCACAGAAACTGAGGTGGGCTGGGAGGAGGCTGACAGCATGTAGCCAGGGGCAGGACTGGGTGGGGAATTTTGCATCCCCCAGTTCATGGCTGACAGCCACCCAAAGCCAGCCAGCTGGGTGCCCAACACCCCACATCCCAGCCTTTGCCACACAGCTTCTTCCTAGCTGGCCTCATGCCAGCGCCCCCCCTCCACAATTGCATCCAGCTTCCAAGGGCATTTGCTCTGGACTCCTCTGGCCCTACCATCTGGGCCACTCACTGACCATTAATCATGGTCTATTCTGACCATGAATTACAGCTCCATGCCTCCAGTGGGCCCTTGGTCACCATCATAATGCCGCTGCCCATTGAGTGTAGCTGGTCAGCCTCCTGAAGGCCAGCAGGGTCTTAGAGCCATCAGGACACAAGGAGGCCACACAGACAGGGCTTCCGGGCCTCTGAGGTGAGACCTCCCGAGTTTGAAAACTCTTCCTCAGCTGAGTCATCTGTGCGAGTTACTTGAACTCTCTCAGCCTCAGATTCCTTCTCTTTAAAGTGATAAGAATGGTCTTAACTTCATAGAGTTGTTGTGGAATGAAATGAGATGATACAAAGAGAAAAACAATTTAGTAAGGCTGGGGGGGGACAAAATTTGTACAAATAAAACAATTCCTTTTTTTAAAAAAAGATTTTATTTATTTATTTTTAGAGAGAGGGGAAGGGAGGGAGAGAAACATTGATGTGTGAGAGATACATGGATCTCTCATACACCCCCAAACCGGGGACCTGGCCTGCCACCCAGGCATGTGCCCTGACTGGGAATCAAAGAGGCGACCCTTCAGGTCACAGGCTGCACTCAGTCCCCTGAGCCACACCAGCCAGGGCAACAATTTCATTTTTACATGCAAATAATTACTAGTCCAAAAACAGACTGGAGGGGCTTGTCTGTATACTTGGGTGAGTGTGCACCCAGACATTTCCAAAGACGCCAGCTGAGAGGGCTAGAAGTGCCACCCCAGGGGAGACAAGGACACCCAGCACCCAGATCTTGGTTTCTTATGCCACTTGCTAATAAATGAACCAGACTCCTTGGGGGAAAATGGCTGATTCCAGGGTTGGGGTCACGACAAGACAAGACGAGCCGGGAGCATCTTGTAGCACCAGAAAGTAAGGAAGTTGCAAAAGAAACACAAGGATGATGGCATGTCAAAGGGACATGGAATCTACCTGAAAGAGCTCCCAATGGCCAAAGCTGAAACAATTTAAGAAATAAAAATAACGTGGTTTTGGCTTAAACCAAAATTATGAAATAAATATAACTCCAACCTAATATAAATCATTTCATAAATAAGTGTGGGAGAAGAAACAAACCTTCCTTACAAAAGAATTCCAAATAATTTATGCAGCTACTCCCTGCCCCCGCGCTCCTTCCCGAGTGTAGGCTGCACTTAGTGACTTGCTTCCAAAGAACAGCACAGACGGGGAGAAAGTACCTTCACAGCAGAAGAAGCTGTAAGCACCACCTCAGCCAAGTGATACAGGCTAATGTGACCGTGGTAAGTCAGGTTGATGGCATGTACCCTGAGGTGATGTGATGAGAAGGGCACCCCTTTGGTCTTGTTCTCTTTAAAGATTTTATTTATTTTTAGAGAGAGGGGAAGGGAGGGAGAAAGAGAGGGAGAGGAACATCAATGTGTGAGAGAGAGAGCAATCGATTGCCTCTCACACGCCGCCAACTGGGGACCCAGCCAGCAAACCCAGGCCTGTGTCCTGACTGGGAATCAAACCAGCAACCCTTTGGTTCGCAGGCCGGCACTCAGTCCACTGAGCCACACCAGCCAGGGCTGGTCTTCTTAAAACCTCCAGTCTCACCCTGAGAAAAACATTAGACAAACTCAACTGAGGGATAGTCTACAAGATACCTGACCGGCACTCCTCGAAATTACTAAGGTCATGAAAAACAAAGAAAGTCAGGGAAACTGTCACAGAGCAGAGGAGACGCAGGAAACATGACAACCACATGGAATGTGGGCTCCAGGAACAGC